CACAAATATTTTAAGTTAAAGCGTGTATGTGTATGACTCTTAAAGGATTATATAATTTTCAAAAACAATATTCATATGGAGAAAAGAAGAATATGAAAAGAGCTAGAAAGAAATAAATCAACCATACTTTTTATTTTCCTAAATAGCAAAATGAATGTTAATATAACCACTGGCTATCAAAAGTGTGGTCATGGAACAACAGCATCAAAATCACTTGGCGTCTTGTTAAAGAAAAAAAAAAAAAAATCCTGGGCTTTAACCCAGACCTAGTTTCAGCGGAGTTTCCAGACTAAGACAGACTAGAAAGAAAGGCCTGGCAATCTACTTCTGAAAATCAGCCAATGAAAACCCTATGGATCACCACAGTTAGATCAGCAACCAAGCATGAGGATGGTGCAGGATTGGACAGCATTTTGTTCCATTGTACGTGGGATCACTATGTGTCTGGGAACAACTTGAGGGCCGGTAACAACAACAAGTGACCCGAAACTCTACAAGTTGGACTCAAGAATCTGCTCTAACAAGCCCTCTTGGTAATTCTGATGCCACTAACGTTTGCGAATCACTGAACCATTCAGAAACACACTCCACTCAATTTTTGCATTTATGAATGGTGCTTAATGTTTATTAAGAAGATGGAATACATGGTTACTATTTAAAAGAAAAAAATAAATCTTTAAAAGGCATTTAAGTTGTAAAAATGTAGCTCGCATTTTGACAAAATATAGTTAACATGATTATTGTTTTACTAATTTTATGAAATATCCATTATCAAAAACTGTTTTAAAATACTTAGAAATATTTCACATAAATACTAGGGTGATATTTCCTTATTTGAATTTACTAGTTATGGAACTTCTGTATATATTGCTTTGTCTCTCATTACAAGGATATAATTACTATTTAGCACACATAACCTCATTTGTATCCCAAGATTATTTTATATTAATAAGCCTTTTAATTTCACTGGATAATTTTTGAAAAATTCTGAAGTGTGTTTCAAAAATATTCTCAAGTGTCTAACATAAAACTCAGAATTAAAGCCACATTTCTAAATCATGTAATTTTCTCTTTTTCTTCTCTTTGTTTCACACCGCTTTATTTACCTAGTCACTGTCTCTACATCCAGTGCATAAAATGACAGATTTCCAACCAAAATCTCAGTCAACACACAGAGTAGTCAACTTTAATTGTAAACAATCACTAAACAAACTTTAAAGTATTTCTACCAATATGTAGCTCTGTGGGAAATTGTTTTCTCAAAGTATTGTGGATGATTATTAAAAAAAAATAAATAAACGAAGTAAGGTAATGCGACAATAATGATCTGAAACTGTGAGTCAAACGAGTAAGATTAAAGGCACAAAGAAACTCTTCCTAATAAACAAGCAGATAACTGCTGGAAAGAAAAATATGTTCCTTGTTTGAAATTAACAGCCAAACATTCTCAACCTACACAAAACTGTCATAAAGGACATCTAAATCTGTTCTTGTTTATAACGTGTTGTGACAAGATTTGACAGTTTATCAGAGAACTATAATTGCCACCTAAACATCTAGCATTTTGTCAACTGCAAGTATATTTAGTGAAAGCATTGATTTCACTTTAAATACAACAACCATTTTTCTCCACTTTCTGAAAAAACTGACTGCATTTCTTTTCTCCTTAGCTGATCAAAGCAGCATCAGGACTCTCTTTGAATTATTTATGTTGGAATTGTGAAGGGTAAAAGAATAATCAGTAAAGCAAGAAACTATTACCAAGGTAATATACATCTATTCTGGGTATTGACTCAAAAGACCTTCAAAATACAACAGTTCTCACAAATCTATAGAGATGACATTTAAATATGCTTGCCTCGGGAAGGAGAAAGATACGGCATTTTCTCTATACCAGAATTTTCATTTCCAAAGTAATTTATTAAAAAAAGATGTCTTAAATAGAAAAAATACTATTGTTCAGCAGGCATCTTTCCTCCCTGTAGCGTATGGCAGAAGGAGTTAATGATAAGACATTTGTCTCCCTCAGCCTATGGAAACCAAGGTAAATAAGAGCTAAATCCCCTTGCAACAGATCAGGTACAGAAATGTCAAAGTAACAAAGATATTTCCATTATACTTCTAATAGTTCACTTCTTTCTGGAAACAGTTTTTAAAGCAAAAGAATTTTCCGGTCTCAGGTTTGGGGTTTTGTTCTTTGTTGTAGTTGTTCAGTAAAAGAGTAAAATCTTTATGCAAAAATTTCTGCACTATTGTTAGTTGCCGTTGAGTCGATTCCGACTTATGGTGACCCTGTGTGTGCAGAGCACAACTGCTCCATAGAGCTTTCAAGGCTGTGACTTTTCAGAAGCAGAGCACCAGACCTATCTCTGGAGGTGCCTCTGTGTGAGTTCAAACTGTCAACTTTTTGGCTCGTAGTTGAGTGCTTAACTTTTTACACCACCCAAAGACTCCTACTTACTTAATTTTTCCATCATTCTGATAAACTACAAAGAAAAGGAAAGGCTTAAAAGTGGTATAAAAAAAAAAAGCCCTATTTGAAAATTCAGTAATCCCACATTCTAATCCATGCTCTGACTCTAATTAGCTGTTGAATCGCAGGTAAATTGCTTCATTTCTCTGGGCCTTAGTTACCTGTCTGTGAAGTGAGGTGTTAAAAGGGTAATCTCTAAGGCCATTTCCTTTTTTAACATTTTATGATTCTAGACAAATTCCTGGAACTATGAGGTATAGCAACAGCCAGAGCTTAGAGCAAAAATAGCAGCAAGACAAAAATCTACTGAACACCTCAAGAAAATGTGACCCACTATAGATTTTTAATGTTTACATTAGCATTCAGTCCTATTTAGATAATATTAAGTCTGTTTAAAATCTGTTTTGTTTTTCTTTAAAAACTGAAAAATGTGTGACACACTGAGAACACTAAAAGAAAAAAACACTTTAATTGAAGCTGCAAGTAATTTAGTGCTTCTGTACTAAACCCCAGGATTTTCTTTAGAAATCACTGTATGTAGTCTGGCTAGGGATGAGAATTACATGGTGTAGGTGGGTCTATTGATTTTCTGAGAGGAGAGAACATGAATGAAAGGCTGTGGGCAGAAATGAGCCAGTATGCACTGTCAACCACTGCGAGCTTAAACGGAGGAGAGAAGCATGTTGGTGTTGGGGAGGGAGATGATTGGATCAGCAGCAGGATATTTTGATGTAGCCTTTTGGATACAGATGTTTATATGGCTTTTTAACAAGAGCTTATTCAATATATAAAACACTTGTCATAGCAAAGTAATGTGTTTCACAGATGTTGATGAACCTTACCTATCTCTGTCGCCTACCCTCTACCTTACCCCATACCTGAGCTTATCCTGTCCGTGAGCCGAACCCATCCCTGATGCCATTGCGGAGGCTCAGAAGTGGGTAGAGGAAATATATTCAACAAATTACTTTATAATTTCAAAATATGAAAATATGATGATTTGCTTTTTAGGCTGTCAAAACATCCCAGTATCCAAATGTCAGACACACCGCTAGCAAAATAAGAAAGTATGATCTGTATCTGATGCCCTCATTCAGGCAATCCACTGTTGAAACTCTTGGTATGCATGGTCCCTTCCACTTCCTGCCCAACTACTCCAAAAACCCAATGCACTGTGGAAGCTATGTACTTAGAATTTTCTAATAAATACTTAATCACCATATATATTTTGTGAGTATTTTCTTAACTATAAAAGTAATGAAAGTTTAAATTTACTACATAAATTGGTGGTAATAAAATGTGACAGTCCCCCTTCCTCCCTAACTCCCACCAACCTACTACCCTCTTAGTAATAATTTGATTCTTTGAGTCTTACATAATTTTAAATACATAACTGTCATATTACATATATTTTTGTGACTGACATTTTACCTTAAGAAAAATCCATGTGATGACACATAAATCAGTGTCTTTAATAGCTGTGTATGTACAATAAATCATTTGATACTTCATCTGTCAATGGACATTTGTTAATTTCCAGATTTTGCTTTATCAACAATTCCAGAGGGTTACTATTTGTCGTTTACCACTTTATACCCTATAAGCAGTACAGCAGCTGACCCATAGGAGGCGCTTGGGAAATATTTATTGAATGAATAACACCCCGGCGACAATTACTCTTATCAATATAGTTTTTGGAGTGTTTGCAAATATTTCCCTTGAATAGATTCCTAGAAGTAAACATAATCAGTCAAAGGCTATGTGCAAAATTTTCCTTACAAAATCTACACACACTTTCTACTATATTCAAATTGAAGAAGTTATCTATCATAATTTTGGCCACTTGATATGAAAATAATTAGCATTTTCTTGATTACTAGTATTTTTTCATATGTTTATTGACAACTTGATTTTTTTTTTCTGTGATGGCCTATTTATATCATTTTCGAACTTTTTTTGGTTGTCTTTTTCTCTCTCAATTAAAGGAAGTTTGTCTAAAATATACTTCCCAAACATTTTCTCTAGTCTGTAACTTTCCTTTTAAATTTGTGTGGTTTTTGCCTTGTAAGTTGTAT